AGAGAAATTTGACAAAGATAGTGCCAGTGATGAGTCTGCTTGGTTTTACAACCTTGGGGTTATGTATCTGAAAGAGCTTGGGGTTAAAAGGGAATTGAAGCTGGCCGACAAGAATTTTATAGAAGATGAAACACATGATTTGTGTTGGCAAGTTTCTGTTTTTGTAACCATGGGATCAGATTGTGATATTCCTAAGTCCCCCTGGCCACACATAATGCAGGCTGAAATCTATAGGGAAGAGACGCAGTTGTTGGGAGATCCAAACTTTTGCAACCTAAGGTAGCACTCTGCCACTAGGACTTTGTTTCTGTTCGCTTTTGATGTGGAGAACACGAAGATGCAGCTTCAAGTACTGAAGCTGAAGGTTCAGAAACCTGGGAGATATTGGGAAGGAAGGGGCTCCAGGATGAAGTTAAAGTTCAAGATCAAGGCTGTGTCCTATCACCCACCTTGAGGACAAGGTGGTTATTCAAGGGGGAGATATGATAGGGCCCTGGGCTGTAGAGAACAATAGTAGTAGTTATAGATTAATATTAAATAAGTATGGTATTGTTTAATTAAGAATCCTGGGCCATGTCTTAAAATGTGGGCTGGCCCGTTAGGATATACAAACTATAAGAAGGGGAAGGGGAGAAGAGGGTCATTAGGCAGTTTTTGGATTTTGAGAACTTGGGTTCTGGAGAGTCGAGTGCCTCTCGAAGTGCCTCATCTGTATCTTCTTCTTCGTTTCTCAGCTTTATATCAATAATAAGGCATCAATTGATAGGTACTCCAGTATCGTAGCAGTAAATTGATGGTTTATTATTGATGTAAAGCTGAGAAACGAAGAAGAAGATATAGATGAGGCACTTTGAGAGGCACTCGACTCTCCAGAACCCAAGTTCCCAAAATCCAAAAACTGCTTAACGCCCTCTTCTCCCCTTCCCCTTCTTATAGTTATTATATCCTAACGGGCCAGCCCACATTTTAAGACATGGGCCAGGATTCTTATTTAAACAATTCCATACTTATTTAATATCAAACTATAACTACTATTATTATTCTCTACAGCCCAGGGCCCTATCAGGGAAAAGGAAGAGGCAATAAGAAGCACATGAATCTGTCAATCAGTCCTCTCAAGATTAGGCCCCACGCAAAATTTAATCATAATCTATGATTGTGCACCTCTTTTTGGAATTTGAGGGGGGGGGTCCATAAGAGCGCTACAAGAAGGCTTAAAGCCCTAGTGCATCTCTATAGACTTAAATCCATCTTCTTAGTTGAACCAATGGTGAATAAGTCCCAAATGGAACTATATGCTGCTATATTACTAAGGTAACCTAGCATACTGATAGGATCCTCCAGAAAATTCACAACAATCCACAGAGAAATTGTAAAACAGAATCAAGAAAACAAAGAAGATTTTATTATCGATGAATCGGTAACAAGAATGGCCGAAGCCCCCAATGAGCCGAAGCCCCCCAAAGAAAGAGAATATTTCTCGATCTCCCAAAGTCCCAAAGTCAAAGTCTACAAAACAGCCTGCCTACTAACTCCCCTTTTCATCTATTTATACTACAATACTACAAATACCCTTATTACAACTATACCCTTATTATTATTCTTCTATTATTAGTCTGATAGGTAGGTCCCTATCAATACTCCCCCCCTAAACATCCACCTTGCCCTCAAGGTGGGTGATAGGAATCAGCCACAATCTTCTGCTTCCTCTTCCTCTTCCTTGTTCCTCTTCCTTCCCAATATCTAACTGGTTGATGAACTTGCAGCTTCAGTACTTGAACCTTGATCTTCAGGTTCAACAGTGCAAGTAAGAGCAGAAATAAAGTCCGGGTAGTAGAATACTCTCTATACTTACTTATGAACTCTTCAAATAAACCCTTCTCCCATTGACCAAGCACATCACCTAATGACTCTCCATCTTGCTTTGGACTTGATGCACCCTTAGGTTTTGCAATACCCAAGTGAGTAAATGACTTTATCAAACCCATCATTTCTGATGAATAATCAGCCACAACCCAGATTGGTAAGACCCATTTGTTTCTTTCCAGATCATCATCTCCCCAGAGCTTGATCAGATTGGTGTTCTCAACACCTGATTCCAACACATTTAAAGAACCATATTCATTAAATCTCCGTAGCTGATGCTGGAAGCTGGGAGAATCAAGATAAGGTCTAACAATTTCCCTATAAGTTGGTCTTCTAGCCACAGAATTGGGAATTGTCAAAGCGGTATCATCGGATAAGGATAACATTTTCTTCAGTGTGATCATCCAGAATGGTGAATACAGTTTCTCATATCTGTGGAAAGCAAACACAATAGCCATATGAAGACATTCCAAACCTACCCTTTCCTTTTGAACCGGTTTACATACTACTGGCATTCCTCTAACATTTTCATTTTCGTTTACTGCATGATTCCCAATAATCTGTACGCTCAGCTCCTTCTGAATACACTTCCTAGTAGTAACAACATCGATTTTGAAACAATCAGTCTTATTCGGCCCTTCCCAATTATTATCTGGTTTAAGTATTTCTGAACCTTCCCTAATGTCTGATGAAGATCCCATAGGTTGATTTACCTCCTCTTCAGAGTCTGATTCCGTAGTTGAAGGGACCACCAGGTTTAATTCTGTGTTCATTCTTGTTGGTGGGTTCTCAAGGGATTCTTTTTCTGATGCATCTATGTCAAAAGTTCTTGAAGCTGATGATTCTTGCGGACGGTGTAGAATCACATGCGATGATGATCTGTGTGCAGACGAGCGGTGAGAGTCCGCAAATGTAGAAGCATGTGAACTGAAAGAATAGTTCAGCGACGAAGATGAAGATTCTTCTCTCACTCGCGTATCTCTTGGACGTGAACTAGGAGTCCTCCTTCTCGACTCAGTTTGCAACTTGGTGAACGACTGCGATGAATGATGTCTAGGGCTCCTCGATCGATCATCCGATGTCTCTGATTGAGTCGAAGGTCGCGTATGTCGCTGGTGATAGTGCGAAGTGTGATGAGATACAGTAGAGTGATGTGATCGATTCCTCGATCGATCTGTCTTCTGGTTCTTAATCTCCTCAAATCCAGCCTGCATCGCCGCTCTCACTTTCTCGAACTTCGCATTTGATTCTTTCTGATATCTGTCAAATTTCCGCTCGATTTCAGTCATTCGCTCCTCCAGTTTTCTTTCTATCTGCGTTATACGACCTTCCATCTTCATTCGAGTCTCTCTTGTCCAGCGATCGTCTCGCTCTGATACCAATTGATAGGATCCTCCAGAAAATTCACAACAATCCACAGAGAAATTGTAAAACAGAATCAAGAAAACAAAGAAGATTTTATTATCGATGAATCGGTAACAAGAATGGCCGAAGCCCCCAATGAGCCGAAGCCCCCCAAAGAAAGAGAATATTTCTCGATCTCCCAAAGTCCCAAAGTCAAAGTCTACAAAACAGCCTGCCTACTAACTCCCCTTTTCATCTATTTATACTACAATACTACAAATACCCTTATTACAACTATACCCTTATTATTATTCTTCTATTATTAGTCTGATAGGTAGGTCCCTATCACATACCAAATCGAAGGACATTAGGCCCTACAGCCTATGTATGAGTGAAGAATTTCTTTTTTATTATGGAGGAACAGACCAGCCTTAAAATTGAATTGTTTAGCACATAAAAGCAGATAAAGTGACAAACAACATTAAGATAGTTCTCAACAGATAACAATAACGCACTCACACACATAATGTAATGCAACAGAGAGCATAAACCTGCCAGATTTATTAATACCAATTGCTTTCAAGTTTAGTCTGTGAGCCAAGAGTGTATGAAAAAATATATGGTGAAGTTCCTTTCTTCCTTTGCCAAACATAGATCCTATTCTATTCCGCTCACCTTATGGTCACTACTTTTATCCTCCTATGAAAAAAACCAGGGCAATTATATGAATAAATAAGTAGTTTTTACATCACAATCCCAAGATTATTGTAACTCTTAGTAATTTCCTGTTGTTACCTTTGAGTAACTAGATTTCAAAGGTAAAGTTTTCATCTCATTTTTTGGGTACCCATTCCAGTCTCCAGAACTGATTAACCAAGCTAATTGCATCAAGAATTTTCCCAATAAACAACCAAAAGTTGAATATTAGATCATACTATCCAAGCAAAACTCAAATGAAAAGGGGAATAGGAAGAGGCAATAAGAAGCTCTTGAATCTGTCAGTCAGTCCTCTCATGATTAGGCCCCACACAAAATTTAATCATAATCTATGATTGTGCACCTCTTTTTGGAATTTGAGGGGGGGGGGTCCATAAGAGCGCTACAAGAAGGCTTAAAACCCTGGTGCAGCTCTATAGACTTAAATCCATCTTCTTAGTTGAACCAATGGTGAATAAGTCCCAAATGGAACTATATGCTGCTATATTAAAAATAATATGTAGTAAAACAATTTTAAATCTAGTTCCAATGGGGAAAATAAGTATTTTATAAAAAGGCGAGATTCATTAGCCTTTTTTTACCAATGTTTAGCTATCTATATCTACTTGACCGCAGCAAGAAACTGGAGTATCTACGACTGCCTTTGAGTTGTACTTTTGTGTTTAATTCCTTCTACTGTATTCTTGACTTTATATGAGCCTTTGGGTTTTCAGGATCAAACAGAACTCAACCTTTTTAATTTCTTATCTTCTTATGACTGCAACTTTCTATTTTTTTAATACAAGGCTGCAAACAAAATAGGTACGCCTATCTACAACTGCCTTTTACACTAATAAATAACAGAGTGTGGGGTTGAAACAGATCAACATGGACAATAAAAGCACACCCAAAGAGAAGATCAACACAGTGTAGAACAAAGCTCAGAGAAGCTACAAATGGGTGGAAATTCCATCTTGAAAAGCATATCAAGGTGGTACTTCCTATCTATAATTAGCATTATTATTATATATACCTCCAAACAAATACAAAAATGGCATAGAAAAGTAAATAAACAAAGGAATCTTGAAAATTACCTCAACAATAAGAGTTGACAATAATCATATCTGCAAAATGCAATCACATTAGAGAATAATTACAAAAAAAACATAAATCAGTACAGAAAAATACTATGGGTTTGTTTTATTTAGGAAAATAATGTGTGTTGAATTTCACACTTACCAGGAGAAAATCATTAAGAAGTGCTTTTCGAGCTCTCCGGTCATTAGTCCATATGAGATGTGGATCGTTGTAGAACCAAAAGATACTGGCCATCATTTCATCAGTGATGTCATCTATGTCTGCGAGAGTACGGGGCATGAGATTGAAAGGAGGGAAGCTGCCTACAGGATAATTAGGTTGATTAAAAGGGAAACCCCCGGCACCAGGGATTTGGGGTGGGTGGCCCTCGTTACATTTAGGTATTCCCCTGAGCTGACAATTCCTTCCGTGAACTGTTGTAGAAGGTATTTTTGAATTAAAAGAGCGGGCTCTTGCAGCATACGACTCGGCATTTAAACGGATAGCAGACCTCGTCAAGGTATCATTCATTTCATTCATTTGAGCTGTCATCTGGGCAGCCCAAGCTGGGGCAGTGTCTTCTGCAACATATTTCGATATTATTCTCTGCTGATGAGAAATGGCCTCAGCCATTTCTCCTTGTGTAACTAACGCCTGGCAATCCCAATACTTTTTCATGTTTTCCACCCTTTTCGTATCATTTACAACATCAGCTTCAGTTGGTTTATGTGTCCCAGGAACGTGCACGGCCCCTGGATGAAGATGGGCGTTGATGGTAGGATTCTGCAGAGGAGGAGAGACGGGTATTTCGGCCATGATTTTCAGAGTAAATCTGTGAAGAAAATACTGGAAGACGATGAATGGAGATGAAGAAAGTGAATTTGAGATGAGGATTGCTATAGGCGAACTGAACCACGCACTCCTTGTCAGGGCAGAGGACGGATCGGGTTCGGGCGGGTCGGGTTCGAAAAATGGTAAACTCGTTCGGATATTGGATTGATAATTTCAAACCCTACCCGATCAAAAAATTTATCGGGTTTTTCGGTTGAAGAAGTTCGGGTTTCGGCCGGGTTGGTTCGGTTTTCGGGTCTATTCGGATTTTAATTTATTATTGTTAAAATTGTGATAAATAAAATGGTAATTATTAAAAATATCATTCAAAGTTATACGAGTATAACATTCAAAGTAATAGTTTTATAAATACGGTAATCGATATATTTGAACATGTAAAATAATAATATACGGTGATTGACATATTTGATATTGTGATAAATAAAATTATAATTATATTTGGTTAAAATATCATTCAAAACCATAACAATACAACATTCAAAGTTATACTAGTACAACATTCAAAGTAATAGTTGTATAAATACGGTAATCGACATATTTGAACATGTAAAATAATAATATACAGCAATTGGAATATTTTAATATGCATAATATGGTAATTGGTATACAATAATTGAGATATTTGAACATGCATAATTATTCAAAGTAGTATGTATACTACCTTAGTTCGGGTTCTCGGGCGGGTCGGGTAACATAATTGGTAACCCTACCCGCTACCCGCTTAACTCTCGGGTTGCAAAAATCGGATTGGGTTTGGATCATTCGGGTCGGGTTATCAGATCCAAAAAATAAAATCGAATATATCCGATCGGGTCAATCGGGTAGGGTCGGGTTTGCTCTCCCCTACTCCTTGTTAATTTAATTTAAAATTAAAATTATAAAAATTGCACTGAATAGGCTTTAAAATATTTTGAAATTCCAAAATAGGAGTATCATGTTTTTTATTTCTTGAATAGGAATAATCTGCTAAGTTTAGAAGAAACTGCCATCTTTAAGCCTTGTAAAACTAAACATGGCGGAAATTTACTCCTATTCAAGGAATAAAAAACATGATAATCCTATTTTGTAATTTCAAAACGTTTTTACTCCTGTTTAGGGAATTATCTCTAAAAAAAATACCTAACGTAACTTTACACTAATTTGTCCTTTTTAATTCTTAATTAAATTTAAAATTAAAATAAAAAGTTACCCCTTACTTAGTATGTTTTTGGTTGGACTAATGGACTATAATGTGCTGGTCTGTTTAAGTTTGATCTGCTATGATCCGGTACATGTCTGGACTCTGTGAATTTCCTAACGACGAAAGTCTGGTTTGATCTGTTTAAGTCTGGTTTGATCTAGTCTGTTTAAATCTATCTAATATGGATTGAAAACAGTCCAAATAAAAACATCCTAAAAGCTTTACCCCCGCTAAAGCAGGCTTGGATCGGGCTCGTGAGTCATGCCAGGCTTATTCCAAATTATCTACCCATTTTTAGTCGGTAGCCCCGATCCCGCCTGCTACCACGAGCCTCTTCATATGTCCCAGCCCGCCCAGTAGAGCGGGTTGGGCTGTTAATCAGGCCGCCCAACTTGAAAACTTTCCTTTTTTCCAATTTGTTGAAAAAAGTTAGATCATAAAGTAATATCACAACATTTTAAAACCAATTAATGTACTCACTAACATAACGATACGTTTTCATGATATGCACAAAAGATTATGAGAAAAAAACATCTGAATGGGTTAGACCTATAGGAGTAGCCGCATGAATATTCTTTTTGTTATATGAATAGGAATTGTTTAATAAAATAGGGAATTTTGCGCGAATAGACCAAAAAACTTAAATAATATCACGTTTCTCATATTTGAATGTTTTTCAAAAATAAGTTTGCCGAGTTTCTTCTTTCACTAATGAAAGTATGATACTACAATTGTAAACCTAATTAGTTATATATGCGCGCGATGCGCGAGGAGATAATGCACTTAAGGGTGTATCCATTTGATTTTGTGATAGAAAGACTATTTAGTGTGCTATAATATCAAACTTAAGGGTGGGAACTTAGTGTAATATAGTTGGACTTTAAGTGGTTGGAAAATCTCATATTGGAAGTTATTATAATGATGTTATTAAATGATATGGCGTATAATATAAGTCAATGTGCCCCTGCGACATGAAGGAATTTAAGAAAAGATTTAAAAAGAAAAGATTTAAAAAAAATTCAAAAGATTTAAAAGAGAACATGACCGAAATCTTGAAGGGTTAGATAGCTATGTAATAGTAACAATTCAACCAGTCGAAGGAAAACGCTGGATTTCCTGGCGTTTTAGAAAATGACTTTTGGGGAGCAATCAGTTAAATCTAACAGCTATTTATCAAACACATATTTTAAAAATCCAGCTCGTAAAAAAAACAATCCAACTGGTCAAACCAACTAAAATGGGTCAATGAAACTAAAACATGGCTTGTAAGTCATTTACCAAAAATGACCTAATGGCCTATATATAGGGTGTTTTACCAAAACACGTGAATCCTTAACATCTCTTGCCAAAATACGGGAATAAAATTAGGGTCTTCCGACCAAAGTCAGGTTTTTGAAAAAAGGGGATGGGCTGGTGTCGGATACACCAATTCCGACTAGGAGCATATTTTTATTTTTAAAATTCATTCTTTATTTAATGAAGTGTCTTAATAAAGTTTCGAATTTTTTAATGAAGTGGGTTGGCCAAAATACCCCAAAATTTAACTAGCTTTCACACTTCATTAATTAACGTATTTTGGCAGGTGTTTTGAACGATTTTTTTTTTAAAATAAAGTAAGTTTTTTTTAAGTTGAAGTAATACGTAGCTTCAATTTTTTAAAATGAAAAATATGCATTTTGATTTTTTGAATAAAAAAAATTGATTACTTTAATTTATTTTTTTAATTCATTCCTATTGTTAATTAAATTCATAAAATGAAGTACAAATTTTCATTTGTTTAAAATGCAATCTTTGTAAATTTAATGGAAGTGAACAAAACAAATGTAGTCTTCAATGTAATTTATTAGTGAATACATAGTACGTGTATACAATTCTAAATTTAATACGAGTACTACATTTAACGTTGCTTGCTCGGCCCTGACATGTCACCGCCGCCAGTGTTCCAAAACCCGGATGTGTCTTCAAAAGTGGAAAAATATGCATCTGGTTGTGTAGAATGTTGATAAGAACCATCATACGAGGGACGAGAGCGGGTTCATCTTGTGCATTCGGGTAAAGGAATACGCCCTGGTGGAGCATCGCTTCATCACCTAACTCAATGGCCAACCACTCAAGTCGTTCTTTAACGTTCTCTTTAATGTTCTCATAATCCACGTGTCCGAGTTGACCCGTGACTCGTCCATTTGGCCGAGTCGCTTCCCGGTTCGTTTTTTACAACATAGGTCACTAGTATTGAATGAGTCCTTATTTTTTTTAAACATGTAGTGTACTACTACGTACTACGTACTCCGTATTATTTTAACTTGTGTAATATACTATTCTTTAAACTAGTGTAATGTACTATTATCAAAACACCTAAAAATAAATTACATGATTAATACAGTGAACTAGTCTTATATGATGAATTTTTATCTGTTTAATTTTTATTATAGATCGGTCAAATCTGCTCGTAGATTTTTAGAAATTTTATGCAATTCATACAATTTTTATGAATGGTCTCATTTGTCGGATTTTGTCTAATTATAAATTTATAATTACAATAGTATATAGTGATATAATTTCTATGTACTTCATCTGTCCCTTAAAACTTTACCAAATTTGACCAACACAGGGATTACAAAAAAAAGTTGACAAAGTTTTAAGAAAAATTTGCTCCTCTATCACTTAATTTTAAACGTGTCGTTAAATCGGAGTATTTAACATGAACAATACATACTGGGAGATTCGAAGTTGTCAAACGTTTGGGGGTTGTTCCGCCATATACTGATGATGGGCCCTCTCCGCTATTTTGAAGCAGAGCAGTATTGTTTGTAGTAGTTCCGTGGAACGTCAAATTTTGTGGCGGGGCCGGTATAGCTTCCACGTAAATGTGCAACTCATCGTACTCATTTATATTTCTAGCGATCCGGAAAAAATGAGTCCATGTATTCTCATCGTGAATGGGCCATAGCCTAGAACCAACATATACGGAGATTTTATATTTTGACAATTTTCCGTGAATTAATTTAATTTAGGAAAATCACTCACTTCTAACATGGTTTACAACACTCTCGTGTATACTGGTAAAATCATCATCTTCACTGATGAATAGTACCGCCCTAGGAGGTATGGAGTACTCTATTTCATCATCTTTTTGAAATGGAGTACTCTATTTCATCATCTTTTTGAAATGTAGAACCATTCCAATGAACCATAATAACAATATTACTATCACTCTCACTAGACATTTGTATATATATATGGAGTGGTATATATGAAATATATTAAGAGAGGAAGAAGTTTTTTTTCTGTATTAAAAATTTGAGGATGTGGGATGGGTTGTATAGGATAAATGAGCATGAATGTTAGGTAAAATTTGTGGTTTAAAAATGAACATGTTCAAAGTTGGATTTTAGTCTGATTGAAAGTACCAATTCTGATAGGAGCATATGGTTTTTCCATTTTATTTCATTGCCGGATGCATATACAATTTTTAAAATAAAAAAATAAAAAATAGTACTCCTGGTCACATTTAGCAATTCCGAAAGGAAATAATATTATTTTTGGGATTCCCCCTAGTCGGATTCTCCACATCCGACATGGTAAAATGTTTTTTTTTTGAATTTTGGTTACCGTAGTAGGATATATAAATGTTGGAAAAAATAAATGGGTGAAATAAATAAGAAAATACAAAAAAAAATAAATAAACCGGAACCTGCCCCGAATCGGTAGATTCTGGGCCGGTCCCGGGCCTTACCCAAAACTATCCAAGCCCGGCCGGGTCCAGGCCCGAACTGGAACCGGACTGGGCCCGGTCCACCTCTAAAACAAACGGTGTGGTTTTTCACAAAAAGAGGTGTACATTCTTTTAAACTTATTTTCTTTTAATTTAAAATTTACACACCGTGAGGTGTTGCACCAATATGTACATCGTCACTTCTAA